GAAGAGAAGAGAAGAGAAGAGAAGAGAAGAGAAGAGAAGAGAAGAGAAGAGAAGAGAAGAGAGAAAAGAGAAAAGAAGAGGGAGGGTATGGTCATATTCTTGTGAGGCTTTGATTAGAGCTCACTGAATCCACATGTTGCAAATGAAAAGAGGTACAGGGATAGTCAACTATGTATTCCCCTTGCAGTGAATCTGAATTTTTACAAAAGATAAACACAGAGTAGAAGAAGCAGTGAAATATGCATTGTCTCCAGTGAGCAGAGGGATGACTTCTAGTCTTGTCTTTCTCCCATACCTGTGAAGATAAGCTGTTAATTTACATTGTTAGGGTGAAACTCAACAGAACTCTGTTGTAGGGTAAAGATCTTGGGGCCTACAGGGAATTTACTTGTGAGCATATTGCAAGGGGAGTCCTCTGGGGAGGTATGTGTTCTACCTTTGTAGCTATCTACTTAGGAACAAAATGAGAGGCAGTTTTGTATGACTCAGTTCTCAAGCTTACCCTTTCCCTTTGACATAATGAGTTTGGGGTCTCAAGATTTTTATTTTCCTTTCACACTCATCAGCTGGATTTTAGCTATAAATGGGTAATCACTGTGTGTTGTTTTCCTTTCTCCCCTTTTCCAAATTGTTTTCATTGCAGCCACCCTCTTTTCCTTTAGCCATTGTAAACTGGGAATATGGAGAGTGGGAGGGGAGGGGAGGGGAGAAGAATTAAAATACATATTTATGTATAGTTTTCCAAACCAGAGAGTTGGAGCTGGATGCAATAACCGTAGAGTCTAGGTTATCTTTTTTTAGAAAGGGGATGGGTTTTTTTTTCAATCACATACGAAATAGCTGCATGATAAATTAGTATATTTCTGAGTCATATATATGAGTAGCTTGAATATATATCCATATATATGAATAAAGGAAGTTTGTAAGGTGACTCCCAATGATCCCTGCCTCCTGGTATTCACACCCTTGAGCAAATCTCTCTATTTAGTGTAGTTTGGACCTAATAGCTTGCTTCTAGTAAATAGAATATGGCAAAAGTGATGAGACGTCACTTCTGAGCTCGGGTTATAAAAAACTGTGACTTATGTCTTGCTTGCACTCTCTCTGGCCCTTCTTGCTTGCTCTGCTGAAGCAAACCACCAAGTTGTGAGCTGCCCTATGAAGAGGCCACATACAAAGAACTGAAGGAGACCTCCAGTCAATAGTCAAGAAAACACTGAGGCCCGCAGGTGTAAATGACACTGATGAACGGAATCTTGCCAACCATCATGTCAGTGAGCTTGAAAGCAAATCTTTCCCCAGTTGAGCCTTCAGATAAGACTAAAGTCCCGGCCAACACCTTGTTTGCAGCCTTGTGAGACTGAAACAGGGGACCCAGCTAAGCTATGCCTGGATTCCTGACTCACAGAAAATGAGAGATAATAATTGTTGCTGTTTAAGCCACTATGTTTAGGGTTATTCATTATGCAACAATAAGTAACTAATACACTATAGCTGCTAAACCGCTCAAGGATAGACTATAGCATATATCTATCTATCATTTTTTGTCTGCCTAGAATCAAATGACATCTTTTCTCATAAATATACATTGATTTTCCTTTAGGAAAACATTCCTTCCACTATTCTCAGTGACTGGCTAGATGGGATTGACTCATTTTCCCCTGCCTCTCCCTAAGTAAATACACTTGACTCAGGCTCAGCATATGAAATCCAAGGCTGAGATTTCTCCTGGAATTACTAGGGGAAAAAAAGCACTCTTTCCGCTGAACTTGAAGTTGGTAGAATGTCAGTCTGGAACTACCAAGGCCACAAAATAGAGCCTTTCTGAAAACTAAGACAATTGCAGAGAAAAGAAGAGTCAAGGAAGAGAAAGAGATGAAGTCCTCTTGGCATTATTTAAGCCTCTGAACCAATAATGCCTCTCAAGTCAGTCTATCTCTTAACTTCACATGAATCAATAAATTTCCTTTTTTTCCTTTATTTTTCACTTTAAATCAATTACAGCTGAATTGATGAAAAAAAAAAATTCAAGGTAATAATTTAGGGGTTCCACAAAACCAAGGACCAAATCTGTCTTGTTCACTACTGTATTCCTCATTGTTTAGCCCAATGCCTGGCAAGTAGGGATCACTCAATAGATATCCATTGAATGAGTGAATAAAATCATTCTAAAAAGAAACAGTGAATAGGCCTAACTTAGCAAAAATGCAGTCAAATGTTTTATAACATGGAGAAAGTAAAACCTCTTTAAAAAATAAAAATAATGTTCTAGTTTAAAACTTTAAAAAATTATTTATAAATATTATTTTAAACACAAAGATAATTTAGATTAGATAAGCCATTTAAGCATTTCCATGGTTCATCTTATTTCACATAAAAATCCTCTCATCACTAGGATAATTTCTTTTTATTATGAAAGAAGAACTCCTCTTTCTAGATATAGTCTTATGTTGGGGCATTTCTGTAATTAAGGCTAGAACTTTTTAGCACTACTATATTAGCTATAACTATAATATTATACCCCAATTAGTTGATTAGAACTCACAATGGATTCTATGTCATATCCAGAATATTATAATGGTTTAGATCTCAGGTTAATTAGAAGAAATATATATTAAACCATCATCTGGATCCTAAATCCTTCTTAAAGGAAACACAGAAGATGGAGGGCATGTCAAATCACACCATGGAGATACAATCAGCCCAGTCCAGACTGAGAAACTCTACCAGATAACTTGGTTCTTCAACAAACAAACTGCAGGGCAGGAAATAGAGACAGAAGGGGACTCCACAGACGAAAAGAGACTCAAAAAATATATCAGCCAATTGCAATATGTAAAATTGGATCCTGATTCAAACAAAGTTTTGTGGCATGTAGGAAACAATTGGACATTTAAACACTTTGTGGATATTTGATAATGTTAAGAAATTGTTATTTTATATGATATGATAATGGTAGTGTGGTTATGTTAAAACAGAGTCCTTATCTTTTAGTTATATATACTAAAATATTTACAAATGAAATACAATGTCTGAATTTGGGGAACAAGGAAAGTAGACAGGACATGGACCGGGCAGGCTTAAGCATGAATTGGTGATTACTGGGGCCGGGTGATGAGCACATGGGGATTCAATATACTACTCTGTGTGTGTTTTAAATTATCTAAATAAAAAGTTTTATAATTTTAAAATAAATAAGCAGAATAAAGAAAAAGTATAATATACCTAATTATTAGTAATCTAGTGACAATATTATCCAAATTTTAAAATCTGGATATGTGGGCTAACAGAATATTTGAATAGACCTGCCTATGCTTCTAAATTTTTATAGTAATAATATGAATTATGAATACTGAAGATAGAGGCAATTGATACAGGCAAAAGGAAGAAGACAAAGATCGAATCCTTCTTTTTCAGAGGATTTCTATTGACACATTGCACTTTGATCTTCTCCTTGTACCTTTCTTCAACTAATTATTAATATATTAAGGGCAAGGCACTGGGCTAGAGGCCCTGAAAGAGAGACAAAGATGAACCATGAGGATACTTGTGCCCTCCCACTGATGACTTTTGACCTGTAAAACATCTCTCTACTTCCCATTGCCACATTCCAACCTCCTTGTATTTATCTACAAAATATTTCACTTCAAAATTTTCTTCTGATGGGATTGAGGATACACTATTATGGCACTATGGCATACTGAATATTTTAAGCTAAAGGAATTTGATAAAACAAGAGCAGCAGGAGGTCAGTCTGACCTTCCCCAACTCTTCTTCTCTCACACAGGTCATAAAACCTAGAAAGGATTTTCTGACCTTTTCCTGAAGCAGGTCATAAGACTCTCATGTGAGAGGTACCCTCCCTATACCCAGAGGAAAGTTATATCCTTATTTCTGAAGACACAGGGACACAGAGAAGAATCTAAACATGCAGGTCTTGCTAAATTTTCCCTAGCTTATTACCACTAGATCATACCTTTTTTGGCCTACTGCGTATCGCCACAACTGTCTACTCTTCATCAAACGTAGCGTAAAAGCACACAGGCTTAACTGTTTCTTCAGATCTACATTTCCTCAGGAAGGCTCCGGTGTCACGTAAAACTTACATTAAATCAGTTTATATGCTTTTTTCTTGTTAATATGTCTTTTGTTACAGGGACCTCAGTCATGAGCCTAGGATGGGTAGAGATATTTTTCTTCCCCTATACTTCTTAATTCCTAATAAGAACTTCCTATACCATTTTCCCATTTTGACTCTCCTTAGGTAATTCTTAAAATAAATTTTTTTTAAAAAAAATCAGGTTAAATAAGTTCATCCAATTACAAATAAGTAAAACAATTAACCCTGTCAGTAACTGGCAGATTAGGCCTGCCTTGGATTCAGGTCCAGGAATCAAATCCAACATGCTCCTATTTGTTACAGCTTCTTCCTCAACATTTCCTCAATGTTTCCAATTTCACCGTATTTGTACTAAATGCATAACTGAGTAGCTTTGGCATTCAGGTTCTATATCTGTGAAAGGTTTTTATGTCAGAGAAAGTGACTAATGGCATAGTTAAAATATTTCTAATGTGACTGAATTTTTATAAGCTTGACTAAATATAATTAATGAAAATAATTCCATATTCTGTACAGTTAACTAATATGAAAAGAAGCAGGTTTAATCAAACTTGGAACATAATCATACCTGCATGGCCCTTCTTTTAGTTAATGTTACTTGAAAATTTTTCCACTCCCAATGTTGTTCCACCACATGTGCAAAAACAACATGTCCATTTCCACAGGCTCCAGCAATCTGAGTGCCATCAATAGACCACGCAATATTAAATATGCTGCCAGTGTTGGGTTTTTCTAATGCATATGACCACTGGGGGAGCAAAAACAAGAAAAAACAGGACTTATTGAAAAAAATGTTTAGGAAGTTTTAAATCAGGCACATGACAACATATTAAGATCATTTTTAAAAGAATGTCAGTTCTGGAATTATTAAAATATTTTTCTTACTAAAATTACAGTGTACTGAATGGAAAATACAGATGTAATTGTTAAAGTCCACAGTAGAACACCATGATAAAACACCGTATGAAATATCTCAAGAACTATAAAAAACCCACATCATTTCAATGTTTACTATTCCTTTTCAGTAATAATACTTAATAGGTAAACACAAAGATTCTGTAGAAAAAACAAAGACATCTTACTATTCATTCTTAATATGTAGTCTCCACATCTAAAAAAAATCTCATTACAATATTTTAAGAATGTCACAAAAAAATTGAAACTCAACACACAATGTAACTAAAATAGCTCTGACACACATCCTAAATCATGAAATTGCACGAAATTGGATTTATTTCTTTTCTTTTCTTTTTTTTTAACGGACTGCAGTAAGTATAACCTCTCCTAGAACCTACCTATCTATTTGAGAAAGTTATTTAGAGATATCAATAAGCATTAAATAGGACAAAAGAGATTCTTGTGTGTGTGTGTATAAGTAAGACATAAGAAAAAAAGCAAACTTTTTAATACAAGGTATTATATGCACTTGTTTCATTTTTCAGATGCAACATATGTTATTTGCTAGGATGATTAATTTGACTAAACTTATATACCTAGTCTCTTTCCATTTCTCCAGCCTTACAGTGTATAATCACAGTCTTGATTTTGTTGTTGTTGTTGCTCTTGGCTGGATATAGATAGATAGATAGATAGATAGATAGATAGATAGATAAAATTTGTTTGTTTGTTTTACATTTTTTTTTTCCAGAAATACTCATTATTAGCTACAGGCTCACTTTGACAACAAATCTGGGGGAATGGAAAAATATAAAGATTTACTAATTGATACTATTACAAAACAAGAATTTAAAATTCCTAATAAAAGTTCATACATAACAAAAACATACTGAAAGGCTCTTTGACCCCTTGCTGACACTCTTTTACAACTCTCCCCACCCTCCAGCTGTAGAGCCACTAACTGTTGCTTTAATGGCTTCAGTAAAGGCCTAATAATAAAGTTATCAAGGAGAAGATAATGAACAAACCATAACCTTTGCTTCATCAGCAGTATGAAAATACTAGAAACTTCCTTTTCAAAAATTAAGAAGAATCAATTAAAAAAAGAATAAATATTTGAAGTCATCTTTTGAAAATAACTGTAAGACGACTGGGAACTTCAAAGATACTAATAACCTGCTTTGGGCGATAAAATGAAATTAATTCATTTGTGTTTGACAAAAAGGAATTATGAAACACTACATGAATACTATTTTACATAAAGATTAAAAGTGGTTGGTAATGACAAACGAGTCTTGATTTATTAACATATAGGCTTATGGCATATCTCTCTTTCTAAATCTAGTCTATCCTCATGGTGTAGAAGAAACAGAGATCTTAGTTTAATTTCTATTTTAAAACCATACATTCGAGCGAGGCGGCTGAGCTGCAGATGCAAACATGCAGATCTTTGTGAAGACCCTCACGGGCAAAACCATCACCCTCGAGGTCGAGCCCAGTGACACCATTGAGAATGTCAAAGCCAAAATTCAAGACAAGGAGGGTATCCCACCTGACCAGCAGCATCTGATATTTGCTGGCAAACAGCTGGAAGATGGCCGCACTCTCTCAGACTACAACATCCAGAAAGAGTCCACCCTGCACCTGGTGTTGCGCCTGCGAGGTGGCATTATTGAGCCTTCCCTCCGCCAGCTTGCCCAGAAATATAACCGCAACAAGATGATCTGCCGCAAGTGCTATGCTCGCCTTCACCCTCGTGCTGTCAACTGCCGCAAGAAGAAGTGTGGCCACACCAACAACCTGCGCCCCAAGAAGAAGGTCAAATAAGGCTCTTCTTTCCTTGAAGGGCAACCTCCTGCCCAGGCCCCGTGGCCCTGGAGCCTCAATAAAGTGTCCCTTTCGTTGACTGGAAAAAAAAAAAAAAAAAAAAAAAAAAAAACCATACATTCATATAACACTCCTTCCTTAACCATGGGGATAAGTCCCAGGATCCCCAGTCGAAGCCTGACACTATGGATAGTACTAAACCCTATGCATCCTACGTTTTTGTCTATATATACATAGCTATGTTAAAGTTTAATTTATAAATTAGGGAAAGTAAGAGATTAACAATGTCTAATAATACAGTAGAACAATTATAAAAATATACTATGGTAGAAGTTATGTGAGTGTGGTCTCTATGTCTGGAAATTCCATTTCAGACTGCAGTTGACAGAGGGTAACTGAACTCACAGAAAAAGAAACTGTGAAAAAGGGAGGACTACCGAATTTAAAGTATGGTTTTAAAACACTGGAAGAACCAAATCAGCCAGAAAGAAATGTCTTACTAAAATTAAACAGAAATATTTATCTAAGAACTTACAGATGCATGATTCTAAGAGGAGAAAATGAAATGTTTAGATAATAGTATATCATCATCCCATATTCAACTGATTTCCTTTACAGTCCACACGAACCAACAAAAATAAAATCTGCAACATGCAACTTATCCCTGAAAACACATCTCAAGGAATACAGATTGAGTATCCTTTACCTGAAATGCATGGGGGCCAGAAGCAAATTTTGGATTTCTTCAGATTTTGAAATATTTGCATATTCATAAGAAGATATATTGAGAATGAGACCCAAATCTAAACACAAAATTCATTTATGTTTCATATATATGTTATACACATAGCATAAAGGTAATTATATATTTCTTATACATAGCATAAAGGCAATTATACATATATTTCTTATAATTTTGTGCATGAAACAAAGTTTTGCAGATGTTTTGGTTGTGGCCTGTCACATGAGGTCAAGTGTTGGAATTTTTTACTTGTGGCATCATGTTGGTGCTCAAAAAGTTTTGGATTTTGGAGTATTTTGGCTAGGTACTTTACTCTTTTTGTGACAGTTGTGAATGGGAGTTCATTCGTGATTTGGCTCTCTGCTTGTCTGTTGTTGGTGTATAGGAATGCTAGTGATTTTTGCACATTGATTTTGTATCCTGAGACTCGGCTGAAGTTGATTATCAACTTAAGAAGCTTTGGGCTGAGATGATAGGGTTTTCTAGATATATAATGGGATCAGATCATCTGCAAACAGGGATAGTTTGACTTCCTCTCTTCCTATCTGAGTACCCTTATTTTTTTTTTTCCTTGCCTGATTGCTCTGGCCAGAACTTCCAATATTGTATTGAATAGGAGTGGTGAGAGAGGGCACCCTTGTTCTGTGCCGGTTTTCAAGCTTTTGCCCTTTCAGTGTGATATCAGCTGTAAGTTTGTCATATATGGCTCTTATTTTGAGGTATTCTTTCAACATCTAGTTTATTGAGAGTTTTTAACATGAACGGATGTTGAATTTTATCGGAAGCCTCTTCTGCATCTATTGAGATAATCGTGTGGTTTTTGTCTTCAGTTCTGTTTATGTAATGAATCACATTTATTGATTCATGTATGTTGAATCAGCCTTGCATCTGGGGATGAAGCCTACTTGATCATGGTGGATAAGCTTTTTGATGTGCTACTGGATTCACTTTGCCAGTATTTTGTTGAGGATTATTGCATTGATGTTCATCGAAGATACTGGTCTGAAGTTTTCTTTTTTTGTCATATCTCTGCCGGGTTTTGGTATCAGGATGATGCAGACCTCATAGAATGAGTTGGGGAGGAGTGTCTCCTTTTTAATTTTTGGAATAGTTCCAGTATGTCTCCCCAATTTTAGTAACTATTAAAGACTTATTCTCTGCTGATTAGGTTTCTATTATATTGTTTTATTACTAATCTAAAACAGAGAGAAATAATTTTAATTTATTTTTTAATCTTTTATTTTGAGTTCAGGGGTACATGTACAGGTTTGTTATATAGGTAACCTTGTATAATGGGGGTTTGTTATCATTAATGGGTACTGGGCTTAATACCTTGGTGATGAAATTTTAATTTTTAATGCTTACATTTAAAATAATTTTTAAATTGTAAATTTAAAAATTTTTAATGTAAGAATTTAATTTAACTTTACTATCACGATATTGTTATCCAGGTTGAGCATTCCCAATCTGAAAAATTCAAAAGCCAAAATACTCCAAAATCCAAAATTTTTGACATAGAGAACACAGTAGAAGCAGGAACGTCATTCTCTAACCTTCTTTCACCCCTCTCCCAAGGCAGGTCAGTTCATCAAGGGAGAGGTACCTTCCCTGTACTGGGATGTTCCTTAACATCCTTATCTCTAAAGACACAGGGATGCAAAGAGGAATAATCTGAACAGAAAGGCTTTGCTACATTTCCCCCAGTTTATTAGCATTAGATCATAACCTCTTTGTCCAATCATACTTTTGCATGACAGTTCATTTGTAATAAAACCTAAGCATAAAAATACACAGGTTTCCCTGTTTCTTGCGGTAGGGGTGGGGGGGCGGGTCTTCATTTCTGAAGGCTTCCATGTTATGTAAAGTTTGTATTAAATAAAATTGTATGCTTTTTTTTTTTTTTGTTAATCTGTCTTTCATTATTTATAGGGTCCTCATCCATAAACCTAAGATGGGAAGAGACATACTTTTTCTCCCCTACACTGTTACTTATCTTATCTCTTTCTTTGACCAGACTATCTCTTACTTTAAGATGTTACTCAAAGTGTGCAAGCCAGCAGCATCTATATCACGTGTGAGCTTATTAGAAATGCAAATTCATGGACCCTACCCCAAGCTATTGAATCTGAATCTCTGGAGAGGAGAGACAGGAAGCTTTTAACAAGCTCTTGAGATAATTCTTATGCACATAAAGTTAGGATACTTGTTATCAATGCTAGCTGCACATTATAATCATCTTAGAAACTTTTAAAAAAGAGAGCCAAAACCCTGGTTCTGATCCA